TTTGCGTCTCTGACCATGCACCCCGCATTTTTGTTCGAGGTGTTGTATATCTTCAAAATTTCCAATATTTTTTGAGTATAGAATACAACTTGATGCGTACTCTTAAGTTACTCGCACTAGACGTTAAAACTTTCACGATCTAATATTTTCGCTTTCATCGTGAACGAAATGGAAACTTTCGCGCGTTATGCTGTGACTTTTTTTTTACACGTACTACTTAAACCACGGAGGCAAAGTAATCGCTGGATACGGTAATACGATATATGGCAATTTTTTTAAATATTAGAACAATACAAAATATCCAAAAATACTGACAATGTAGACAAAGGAATCGAATTTATATAGCTAGCTAGCTATTAAAAAGAATGAAATTTTGAATATCTTTAAAAAAATCTATTTTTTTAATTAGACTGTTAGTTTTATTAACTTATTTTTACACGCGATAGAGCATGTTGCCGATCTTATAGGTATATTATAAGTATTATTATATACTCTTTTTACCGTAAACGAGATGGAATGCCATCTTAGTCCTTAGGGGTGACAACGCATTTGCGCATTTTAATTCTTAATTGTAGTTAGATGTAGATTATCATCTATGTGCCACAGCATCCACTTATCATCAGGTGAACTGTGTACTCTTTTGTTATCCTTCTTCTATAAAAAAAACTACAATGATTTAGGGTTTCCATTAAAAGTAAAGGAAGTGAAAGTTAACATTATTATCTTTGCAACAACAAAATTACTGTTTAAGACTTATTACGGCAATATCCAGTATATTATAAGTATTATTATATAGACTCTTTTTACTGTGAACGAGATGGAATGCCATCTTAGTCCTTAGGCGTGACAACGCATTTGCGCATTTTAATTCTTAATTGTAGTTAGATGTAGATGTCTATGTGCCACAGCATCCACTTATCATCAGGTGAACTGTATACTCTTTTGTTATCCTTCTTCTATAAAAAAAACTACAATGATTTAGGGTTTCCATTAAAAGTAAAGGAAGTGAAAGTTAACATTATTATCTTTGCAACAACAAAATTACTGTTTAAGACTTATTACGGCAATATCCAGTATTACGGCCATATCCAGTAGAACAAGTGCAAAAAATATGCGCTAATATTCCCAAAAAAGGTCATTATCCTCGTCTACGCGCCAAGGTTGACTTAACAAAATGGCGGCATGACGTAATCACATTTAAAATATGTTTCTAGGTAGTGTGTTATTTATTTGTATCAATAGGCAAATTTATAAGTGCAATTTTTTTTACTTACGATATAATTAGTAATAAGATGTCTTTGTTATATACTTATTAAGTAAGACCGAGTAACTTGTTATTAGACCAATAGCGTTAGGAATCTAACTGGTACAGTAGAACCAAAAAAATAAGGTTATAAAAAATCTATTTGGCATAATGTTTCGTGAAATAATAATTCCGCTTACATTAAAAGGTAATAAAACTTCTGAGAAATTACGAAACCTATTAACGCAAAATTACATAAATAATTTTATACATAATTAGCCTAATAATTCTATGATTTTATTATTTATATCACAAGCAGAATTCTTTTTTTTTTAATTTCTAACAAAGTAAACCAGCCCAAGGCATTACCCGAGATACATCCTTGAGATGAGAACACCTGGGAACACATTAGCGTTATTTAAGAGCGAAGCGGCAGTCTTTACAGTTATCAGTTCTTATAAGTAAATTGGTACGATGTTAACGTTCAGTTAACACCGAAGGGCCTAGTGGTGAGATTACATGGTCACTACACCGCGGGTCTTTGCTTCAAATGTTACCGTTATTGTTACCGTTGTAGCCTAGATTGTCTTTTATGGAATATATATGTATGCCATAGTTGCCACGCTTGGCAAGCGGGTTGGCAGACGCAGTTTTTTTTAATTCATTATTAGGAAGACGCTTCTGCCCATCTCATGATTTGTTTCCTTCTGTGGCTTTTACGACACCCACGGAATGATTCAAACATAAATTGAAGCAAAAATTTTTTTTAATATAGGCGCAGATTGTTGTCCTTCCGATTTGATACTGTGGTTGCATGAAGCCTTGGTAGATCAGGGGTAGGCGTTCGCCTTAAATGTCACCGTACACAAGCAACCCGGGTTTAATCTCGGCGATAACAAATTTGTTAATTGCAATTATTAAGTGCTGATTTAGCACGTGCTCGACAGTTAATGAAACATCGTGAGGAAATCTGCCTGTCTGAGAAATGCAAAATTTCTTCTAGGTGGTAGATTTCCTTTCCTGTCTCTCAGTTGGTCTAGGTGCGTATCACTCTATTAACTATTTCTGCCGCTAATGTCAGTGCAACTGTTACGTTCCAGTCCAAAAGGTATTAAGAGCCAATATAGTTACACGCTGCGAGGCATTCCATCTTAGCCCTTAGATGTAACAACGCATCAATAGCCTTATTTGTTGAAGTTAGTCGCAGGTGTCAATGAAATGAAGTAGCCACTTACCATCAGGTAACAAACAAAACTGCTTGTGACCAGCGAACTCACAGTTTGTTTTTCACCTGATAGTTAGTGGCTGAAATGACAAGTAGCCACTTCAGTTTTATTTTAAAAAAAGCTCTATGTAACTAAATTTTAATTTAAATAAAATATCTATCTTATTATGACTGTCCGCATACTGCACAATACATTCGATCCTATATAGGAGCGTTACATACATAGGTCATGGAAAGGTTATTACGAGCGCGGGCCTCTGTATTACATTTGTGCACTAAATAAATAATGTCCTCCAGACCGAATATCGGTCACGTCGGCCAGTCTCAACCGAGATCAGCGCAGGACGGGATTAGTTATGCACTTGTGTGTGTGTGTGTGTGGTGTGTGCAGGCAAATGTGCACTCTATTCCCTCAATCTCTTATTTCAATGGGACGGCAATTAGACGAGAGATTAGACGCAGAATTAACTGCTTTACGTGCTTTCACAAGCAGGGTCATAGGGTTGCTACTGACAACTTCTTGCCAGAAAAACCCAATAACTTAAGTATTTTTAACGTGGTAGAGCCCTGTCTCGACCGGGGAAGGACCGCGCTCTCACAGAATCAGACGGTGAGTAGAGTGTAGAGGACCACCAGGCATTCCATCTTAGCTCTCACGGCTTACAATGTATTTGCATTTTGATTCGCAAACGAGGACAGATATAGAAGTCTATGGGCCACAGCAACCACTTACCATCAGGTGGACTGTGTGCTCGCTTGTCACACTTATCCTATTAAAAAAATGGTTCGACCCGGGATTCGAGTCCGGGACTACATGATCCGTAGTTGTGCTTACTATTAGACGATGATTACTTTCTATTATCGATATCTCGTTAAGCCGTTGAAATACCCTGCCCAGTTGACAAACTGTCAACTGGGCAGGGTAGTGAATGCAGGACATTATTAAAGTGCACTGTGAAGGTACTTTCTTGACATACCACCAAACCAAAACCAAATTGACCAAATTCCGCATGGAATAAGTATTTGTGCGGTTTATATTAACTGCCTCTACGTTACAGAAGAAAACCAAATGTGGGGGAAGTTAACGTTTGTTTTTTTATACGTTAGGGAAAAATATGTATTGTGTAAGTTGGAATATCAACCCTGGATAAGATTTGAACACGAAACTCGTGTCGATACACGTGCAGATCGAATTAAAACATTATTATAAAATTTTACCTCCATAAACCTCATCATCATCATCATTACAGCTCTTCACAAATCCACTGCAGAACATAGACCTCCTCCAAATAATGCTACAAAGCCCAGTTCCGTGCCACCTGAATCCATTGACTTCCAGGTCTTACCAGGTCGTCACTCCATCAAGTGGGGGGTCTCCCCACACTGCCTACCAGGCTGCCACTCGAGAACCTTGCTTCCCCGTCGGTTGTCGGTTCTTCGAGCTACATGGCCGGCCCATTGCTACTTCAGCTTACTAATCCGTTGGGCTATGTCGGTTACTCTGGTTGTACTATAATTTATATATTACTTACTATACTATGTAAGTACAAGCTTACTTTATTTCACAAAAAGTCATTGACACTTAACTTGTTATACAGATTAGGTAAATCTTGGCATGTATACTCTAAGAGATAATTTTTTAAATAATTTAAAAACTTGTCTTTGGCACCCAGGGTTGACTGGCAGAGGATGCCATTAAGGTGATAAAAAACTAACTGTCATGCTCATATTATGTAACCGCCAAATTAAAAAAGTCTGATTGTTTCACATATTAAAAGCGTATCGAGCTTAAAATAGCATTTTCATTCAAACTTTTTTATCACATTCATAATCTCGAAGCTCGCAACGTTGCCGTAAAATCCTTATCAGCACTGACCGTTAGAATTTACTTATCTAAAACATATTTAACCAGTATCAATCACGTAAGGGTTAGACGGAAGTAAGTTTATAGTAAGCTCTTTTAAGAAAAATATGGATCCACGGCTCTACACGGGAGCCTTATTTTTCCTGAAGACCCTTAAAGTCCTCTTTGGAAGAGCAATTCAACTATAATTAAAAAAAACTTGTTTCATCTATATTAAGCATAAAAAAACGCAATTAAAAAAAAAAACAACAAAACTGCCATGAGAAATCGAATGAAGCTTTTGTGTAGATATTTTTATAATCACAATACAAACTATACTACCTATAATTTATATATATATATATATATATATCTTTTTTAGGCGTTATCGTAGTAGTAGGCGTAAAGTTTGTTAGTAATAATGTGATTTGTGCTTGTCACTTGTGTGCTTTCAATTCAAGGACTGTGCAAAACGACTGACATTTTTTGTTTGAAATTACCGTATTTTAATACAAAAACTGTGTATTGTAATAATTAGGTACTAAATAAAAGTCAAGATTTTATTCATGTTTGTATCACTGAAAGCTATAAATATATTAGAGTTAATTTTTAATTATATTTCTTACAATCAAACACCGGCTGTTTGTAAAACATAACCTAACAAAAAGTTTTGTATTTAATATACTCACCCAGAGCACTGGCAGTTCAATTCACAATTTTTACTGCTTTCTCCCCACATTTTTATAAGAGTTCCAACACAGTTATAAACACGAAAATTTAAATTCACAAGTCCATTATAAATAATCAGTCTTAAAACAGCTGTTCTAAGCGACCAGCACCGCGATGCGTCCTTCACCGCGGCCGGATACCGACTAAAATGACGGACACTGTTTTGAGTTCCCCGTCTTCCCCTAGGGTCTAAACGGTTTACGTCCTGTGCCACCCCTGAGCTTTGTGGGTTGTAAGCTAGTGAGATTTCTACAGTTTTGGTAGCATTAAACACTTTTACTGTAATTTATACGCAACTGATCGCTTAAAACATATTTTTCTATTAATTATTATTTAGCTATCAAAATAATATTTGTATATAATAATAAGCAATGTATAATTACACGAATTATGTTTTGTATAAAATTGCTTCATCTGTTTAAGAAAAAATATATGTACTTAAATTACATTAAAATTACTAGATACAATAAAAATAAATAAAGAAAGTAAACTAAAATCCTACCTATGGCCCACAACAGGGCATTGGTAAGACAACTCATTACTTAAATACTGTTTGATCAATAAAGAGTACGCCGGATTTTGCCTTAATGCGTGTTGGTTGATGTAACGTAATCTGTTCGGATTTTTTTTTATAGACATAGTAACTTTTTTCTTCACAGCTAGCGATAAAAGACACTTTCCATCGATCCATCTATCCATCTATCCATTACAACACCTAAAAGTCCACTGCTGAATATAGGCGTCCCTCATATATTGCCTTTGCCACAGTTGGCAAGTTTGGCAAGCGGGTTGGCAATCAGCTTGCCACTCGTGGCAACCGCAGTTTTTTTTATAATTTTGAGTTTTAATCAAGAAGATGCTGCTGCCCATCTCTCTGATATGGGATGGTGGATATAATTTTTTTTTACATTTTTTACAAGAATTCGTGTTGAGAATGAAGTAGAACTCAAAGCAACAAATTTTCGAAATTTTATTTGTATATTTAGCTATGATCGATTTTTCCATGCTACGAGACTCTCACGTGGATGTTTGATGACTCACAAATTGTAAAGTAATATGTACATAATGTTGTGTTTAACTTTTCAAATCAATTTCAATATTGCGTAATACTTACTTCGAATTGATAATATAATACCAAAGTAAAGAAATTAACACGCAAGCAAAGCAAAAAGCAAATGAATTTACTCCCAATAATTTTAAAGGTAGAATAGATAGCATTCGTTTTACGATTTTTATTACATAAAGGAAGATGATTATATATACGTCATATATATCTTTATTTGTATAGAAACGTTGCTTAATCAATCATAATTTTCGTTACTCCACTAGGAATCTGTTCGTTTAACTGTCTATTGTCGTTTTAACCTCTATTTTTATTATAAGCAAGATAATATTACAAAGGTGATTAAGCATTAAGCTCTACATAATTAGTTCTCCTAATTTTATAGTCACCCTTTTTATATTTGTTAAAGAAAATATCTTTCCTCTAATTTAAGAGAATGGGAAATTTTTGATCATTTGTAACTCTCTACATAAAATCCTGGCAACAAACACGAGCTGGCGCAGGCCAACACTCCTGACCCTACCATCTAACTAGATCGACAGTCTGCATGAACAATCAGGCAATTTTGAACTTTAAACGTAGTGTAATAAAACATTTAATAAATTAAAGTCATTAAAAAGGAATGTCATACAAAAATCATATGGGAAACGAATCCTGTTTCAATATACACTTCTCAATAAAGTACAAGAAATAACGATTTATAATATCAAGTGCACACAGTTTATTTTTCAATAACATCGCCTAGAAAGCCGGTATTCTACGCACACGTTGACACATTCGATTCAAAGTTAAATCATATGGTTTTCTGATATCAAACAAGCAAATTGCACCTAATGGCAACATAGCATACGTCGAAATTGCTTCACCAAATATGTATAGTAACCGAAGGCTCCAACCATATGACGAAACAATATGTTATTCAACTCTACATTTAATATGACACCGCAAACACTTAAGAGATAAGGTAGACATTTTAATTGCCGTTTGTTCTTCAGTAGCATTATTAAATTTGTCGTAGCGAAGGCTATTCCCAAGAATTCCCTTCAAATCATATGGTTCTGTAAAGGAATGCCTTTCTGAAGCCGCCGCGTGGCTGTTCGGGCTTTAGCATCAATTATGACCTCTCTATAGAGTTTTCGGCAACCAACAAGTGTTTGGGATTGTCTCGGGCACTTCCGCAGTATTTAGAACTAGCCTTTACCCAAGGAGTCCTTTGTGTAGGCATTATTTTTGTTATTTGAATCTCCGTTAAAAGGTTTTGAAAACATCTTTATCTGTTTGTCTTTTCGTATTGATTGAATAATTATGCAAAAAAATGTGGGTTTTATATAAAGAGAATATATAAAGAGATATTTAAACGTGGTAGGGCTATGCTGTAGCTATATTATGTAGCACGAACGTTTCGGCTCGGCCGGGAAGGACCACACTCTTACAGAATACCAGCACAAAATAGCAGCTTAATGTTGCTTTGTTTCGTATGGTGAGTGTGAAGAACTAGATACCTTTTATTGGAAACGAGAAATTCTCTCTTAGTTCTTCAGTCTGACAACGCATCTGCAGGTTTTTAATCGAGGATAGATGTAGATGTCAGCACTCACTTACCATCAGGTGAACTGTGTGCTCGTTTATATCACCATTATCCTACAAAAAATTCCATTGATAGACGAATACTAAACAGTTTTAATCTTTTAATCCTACATTTAAACTTTCAGACTATTAATGTATAATATAAATAAAGTTCATCAAACCCATATATCTACTAACTTGTAGATTTAAAATTAGATATTCGAGACTTACATATTTTTCTCATAATAAATTTATTTTGACTATCGAATATGTATAAAAACAGTGATTTGCTTTACATTTAAATCTCAAGCATACAACTTTCACTATGTAACAAATCAAGTATTACACCTTTTATCAATGATCTTATATGTAAAAGTTTTACATATAAGATCATTGCCTTTTATCCATGACGAATCAAAAACCAACGTTCTTTTCACTCCACCACGTACAAAAGCAAAGTCTCTAAACGAAGGTTAATTTGCGAACTGCAAACATATTAATAAAATTTTTGAACTGGTAGTTTATTTAGCAATTGAACTGCTTGCATAAGAAACCTATGCAAAAATTATTTTAAGTGTGATTACTAATTAAATAAAACCAATTTTAAAGAATGTTATCGTGTTTATTTTAACACTTATTACATTCTTTATTCTGTAAGTACTTTGCAGAACTAATGGTAACGTAAAAATTGAGGTATTTCACGTTGTAATTACGTAGCTCGTAGCTAACCTATTTTTACAAATTAATCATAATATGGGGCCTTTGGGATAAGCTATTACATCTATGACTTCCGATAGATATATATATAACTATCTTTTTGCGCCAGGTGTACAGTACATAGCATAGATATTATTTCTATGTTACACCATAGTATAAATAAAGAGGCCCCCCTCTCTTTATACTATGGTTACACAGACTGGTAGTAAGTAGTGGCGAAAAACGTGTGAGATGTCTGATAGTGCGAACGTCAACAGAAACAGAAACAATTCAGCAGATTTTTAATTCAATATAGATTATAAATACTTAATTATTATTGAACATCATTCTTTTATTTAATTAGTCGCTCGTTCGGAAAGAAAACCTCTGTTCTGGGAGGTTCTGGAGTTCTGATTCAGCAAGAAACCTACCGGAACGTTTTTTTAAACAAAAATAAAAACAGCTTGTAATCATGTATATTACACAATTAAGGGGAAATATAACCTCAAATGGCTTAGCAAGATCCTCCGTTATGCCGAAAGTATTGCAGCATTAATTTTGAAATAAATATATGGTAAAGTTGAGGATTAATGTTAAGGTTTATGTTAGACGAAAACACGATTCCGTAAAATTTTCTCGATAGAAAAAAAATCCAAAGTTACCTCCAAACTGAACAATAAACCGCTGTTATTCATAAAATACTTTAAATAAGATCATGAAACTTAACTCCTGTCGCTCCGCAGGAACCAAGCTTACGCGCCGATAGTTTAGGTAATTTCTTTTTACAGTGAAAATAATGATATTTTAAAAAAAGTAAATAACATAAGCACTGCTTTATGGTTAGTTCAGTTAGTATGCAAAGTTTCATGATCTTATTTAAAGTATTTTATGAATAACAGCGGTTTATTGTTCAGTTTGGAGGTAAATTTGGATTTTTTTTTCTATCCAGAAAATTTTACGGAATCATGTTTTCGTCTAACGGTAGTATTTAACATTAATTCTCAACTTTACCATATATTTATTTCAAAATTAATGCTGCAATACTTTCGGCATAACGGAGGATCTTGCTAAGCCATTTGAGGTTATATTACACCATTAACAACACAAAACAAATTAGAAATAGCTTGGCAGCGATCACTTCATTCCCCGGAGTTATTATCCATCGAAAAATTTCTTAACGTTATAATAACATTTTTTATACAAACTCAGTTTAATAATAATATTTTTGATATTTGAATTATTACCCCGGAGAACCTGGACAAAATGATGATTTAGGCAAATCATCTATACAAAGAGTGAATTACATATGTTTACTCTTCGATCAGTCAGTGTTTACTACTATGTGTCCAACCGTGGATTTTTAAAGAATTACCTAAGATGCTTTTGTTCTAAGTCTTCAGTGATGACAACCACAGAACAGAAAAATTGGCAGCTCAGCTGTATCTGACAAGTTTCTGTAACACTGACGATAAAACGAGTATTTATGGCAACCAATTTTTTGTTTTAATATAATTGTATATTTATCGTCTGTGCTAGCTTTTTGTTGCACATATAATAAAGAAAAAGATTACAGCTTTACAGGAGTAATTATACGATAGGATACGTACTGCCGCTGTATCCGTTGGTGAATATGAACCTGCGTTCAAACGTCTATTCACCGTCTTAAATGTATATATGTGTTTTAA